AGGTGGAAACTGTCCTATTTGTATTTTTCTATATTTTAAGTTAGACCTCTAGCAATACACGGTTAAAAATTACATTCAATTCCATGTATTTATTAGATTTTAAGTGATGCGCGTACAAACATACAAACAGACAGACAGACAAAAATTCTAAAAGTGGTCGATTGGGCTTGTGTTGCTCTAATAAACAACTTCATTATATATTTGAATATCCATACATTATTCCGCTATCCAGATATTTTTATTCAGATATTCTAGTATCCGGATAATCGGAAAATTCAGCCCTACTCAGACTGGAACATGTGTCTCACGAGTTAGGTTACATCATGTAATGTGATGTTACGTCACGTCACATCAAATAAACTCTAGTGATGTTACGTCAAGTGACATCAAGTAATGTCAAGTTAAATTCACCTGGTTACATCACTTTAAACAAATTTATATTGATCGAACAAATGTATCACGTCTTATTGAGTGATATCCATTGAATCCAGCGATGAGGTCACATAAATTAAACGCAAGTAATGTCACATCAAGTCTAATCATTCTAAGGGAATTTAAGTCACATCGAGTCATGTCTTATCAATGCGGTGACCATCCGCCCTGTATTGTAAGGGACAGACCTCTTTTTTCGTCAATTGTACTGGTAATTTTTTTTAATTCGGACGGTACGCCAAATATTCTGTATGTCTTTTAGCATCCCATATTTTTATTTTGACGTCTTAACAGCGCATAAAAATAGCATGGCTATGAACCAGCTTTTATTTTTAAATCTGGACGCTTGTGATTCGAATCGAGGAGCACATACATAAATGGTTTCTTAAATTATAATTTTGTATAGAAATACTGGATATTTGTGAGTATGAATATTGTTATTGTTCAATGTTTCAAAAGAAATTTCACCAGTAGCTTCTCAAACGTTTCTTTCAGCGTAAGTATTTCCCGTTTAATATTCTGTGTGGAGTCAAGCGTATTGAATACGTAGCAGCAATAGAGCAGCTGATTTCACTTTTTTTTCGAGAACAACAACAAAATATACAAACTGCTTTTGCTCCTGTCCAATGTACCTTGGTATGAAGACCATTTTCAAATTTTATGAATAGAAACTACGCCAAAAAAAATTATTGCTGATTGAAAGCAAGATTTTGTGTTCCACATGGGAAACTCCAAATAAGAACCAGGAAAAATAAGGAACTTCTCAAAGTTTGAAAAAAAAATAAAAAAATTTGGATCCCTTCATTCCGGATGCTATTCACAGCATTGTGCTTGGCCGAAATCCGAGTCGAAAATAGTCCGTTGAATAACACTGATGCTTCAAAAGTAGTCGAATATTTTCATTAGATATAAATAAATAAATAATGTATAAATAAATAAATAAATAAATAAATAAATAACTAAATAAATAACTAAACAAATAAATAAATAAATAAATAAATAGATAAATAAATAAATAAATGGATGAATAAATAAATAAATAACTAAATAACTAAATAGCTAAATCACTGAATAAACCAATAAATTAATTAAATAATTAATAAGGAAGACGAGAAGATATGTCAGCAAAGTAGACGTATTTTTTAGTAGCTGCAGTTTATTCCGAGTTTTATTAAATCCACCGGGTGTTAATTTACTAAAACAACCACAACAATCTTTTTAAGCGGTTCTGCTGTCCGTGTAAATCGAAATTGCATAAACTTTCATTTATTGCAGTGGAATAGCTGCGCTTGATTGTAGTTGGCTTAGCAAACGAAATAGTGGAAAAAGCAACAATAATTTACAAGGCGAACTTAGCACAGTGCGTAGGCTGAGTCAGTGGGATCGTCGGTTCACATCCTACTGAAAGAAGTCGGATGAGGAAATGTGGTGATTTCCAAAATAGCTATACATTCTACCATTTTTTCAAATTATTGTTGCTTTTCCACAATAAGTTTTTCATTAAAAATGGCCTCAAGCTCAATAAAAATTGTTGAATATAATTGTTATAAGGCCATAAAATAACAAAAAACAAATAACTTGAGGATGAGCACACCTAAAAGTTAAACACTCTAATAATAGAAATATTAACAAAAACCAACAACCACATGATCAAGTGTGAATTGCAGTGGAATAGCTGCGCTTGATTGTAGTTGGCTTAACAAACGAAATAGTGGAAAAAGCATCAAGAATTCACAAGGCGAACTTAGCACAGTGCGTAGGCAACTGGCTGAGTCAGTGGGATCGTCGGTTCAAATCCTACTGAAAGAAGTCTGATGAGGAAATGTGGTGATTTCCGAAAAAGCTATCACTTCTACCATGTTTTCAAATTATTGTTGCTTTTCCGCATTCAGTTTTTCATTAAAAATCGCCTCAAGCTCAATAAGAATTGTTGACTATAATTGTTATGAGGCCATAAAATAACAAAAACAAATTAATTAATACCCGTATATGAATACAGGAAAATCCGTTTCAAACCACAACAATTTCCGTTTCCTACGGATGTATACCAAAAAAGCTAGCATCCGCAGGAAAAAGCACTAACAACATAAATAAAGACCCACTCGCTGATTTGTTAAAGTGAACGAATTCATTCACCGACTTGGCGAGTGGTCAGTATTAAATTGGAATTCGGTGCGTGCGGTTATCAAAGAAGTTTACGTTTAGCCACGCGGTCGGTAAAATATAGTGTAAAATGTAAAAATTAAGTAAAATATGTGAAAATGTGGTGCGCTGCAAAAAGCAAATACCGCGAGTGTAACAAAAGAAAATAGGCTATGTTATTAGTAGTGCAAATTCAATGTTACTTCGAAATGGTGGTGGCTTCGTTCGTTGTTTTATTTAATGCCGTAAAATCAGGCTTTCATAAAAGAAAAGGGAAAAAATGCGTAGAAAATATATATATCTGTAAGCACACAGATATATATATGTGTATGTTAAATGAATATAATATATTTAAATAAAGTGTTCTGAGATAAAATATGTAGTGATGTGAATGAAAAATTGCGCAGCAGCATAAAGGTGGTATTCGTCGTATTGGAAGCTCGGCGAGTGAACTTCTTCGTGCAGATACGTACTAGTATGAATGTACATTTATGTATGTATTTACATATATGTATAGATATACAAAAGGATCGTACTTTCAGTGAGTTTTTAATGCTATATATACGAAAATATTATATCGACGGCTGAGTGGAAGATCGACCAATCGAAGCTCGCTTTTTACTCATCCTGTTTACCCAGGCAAATCTCAGATTATTAGCGAACAAATTGGTAGTGCTTGTTATTTTCACATCTCAAGAAAAAGTTACGTTTCTTCTCTGTGTCCCGCGATCACTTTTTTCTGCTACATTAAGCAATTTATGTAAATATAACTCAACTTTTTT